TAAATCAAAATGTATTTGGCTGCTTTAAATTTCCACGCAATGAGCCACTTCGTTGCGCTATGATTTGTGATAACCAGGTCGATTCTGAAAAATACATTTATCGCTCAGTTGGGCCTTATCTGGTGAGATTTTAAAAAAATAGTTTAATCGTTAAATACAATCGCAATCTTTATTTAGACTGGCGGAGGAATTTGATTAGCTGTGCCATCCCCTTTCCACACATGTCCAGTAGGGGCAGATGAGCAAGTTACATCAAGAGAACACACAGGACAGGGTACAAGAGTGAGACAGTCAAAAGTTAAGCCAGTCAAAAAACAAATATAAGTTAATCGTGGAAGTACAAATTGGACGAGTACCCTACGTTCCTGCAGATTTGTCAACACCAAAGGCAAGCGTGGGCAAGGCAGCAAAACAAAAACAACAGCAACAGTAAGACCACACACCTCGATTACATTGCACGTTCTAATTGAACAATCGTGAGCCGTGGGTTAGGTTCACAGCTTCACATCGCAGTCGCAAATAGACACCCGGCGAGTACACCAAAATGTATTGATTGATTGAAGCCTAACTCTGCTGATGCGCCGATATCGGTCCACTAGAGTTCGCTAGCAACTGTGTCAGCTGCTGAAATTGAGGACTTCCAGACAGCGGTCGGGGCTGTTGGGTTGCGCTCCCACCGCCGTGGACGCTGTCGCGTTCCGAAGTCACGCAAGGCCACTCAGCTTTCCTACGCGGTAATTTACTCCGTAGAAAAAGTTTTTTTTGCGTGTGTGTGTGTAGTTAGATCGCATAAATATAAAATGCGCCGTTGAACCCGCCGCCACCCGACGCGGCCAATTTAGCAAGGCTTTGTCACCTAAAGAAATATAAACGTGACAATTAGTTACTGCTTGTTGGTAGAGTTAACCCCACGCAACAATTGTTTTTTTTTTTTACAATTCGTGTCCTTTGACTGTTACCGAGATGAAGGAGACATTTGCCCAGCTTCGTCGAATTAAATTTACTCTCTCTCTTTTTTTTCATTCCGATAAGCGGAGTGGCGAAGCGTGGTTAGTGAAGTATGGTCGATTGACCCCCGCCCCCCACCACAACCCGCACGGCGTGGGGAGGCCCTCATCCAGCAGTGGAGGGAAACGAGGCGATGGCAAAACATGAACGCATACGCACAAGTCGAGTGGCTTCTCGTTCTCCAAAGTCGAATAGTTTCATGCTTGACAGCTGCTGTGGCTCATGTACAATTGTATAAGTGTTATAAAGCACATTGGAATAAGGCGCCTTGGATAGAATAAGTCGCTTTGCAAATCTATGCGAAATACGATAATAACGGATGGAATTCGTCAAGTGCGGCTTATTTAACATCGGTCGATTTAGTGAATGAATTCCATCAGCGTCAGCCAGGTTTCTATCCACTGCTGGACGATGAAGGCCCTCCCTAAGTTTCGCCGCCATCCCTTTCACGGTCTCGTGGCGATCCCACGACCCGCCTCTCGCTCTGGAACGCGACCTGATCCCATCGTTCCATCTCCGCGCGGCCGATTTCCGTAATAAGGGGCTCTGCTCCATCCTCAGGCTGCCATTTCAGCACCAGTCTATCTCCATTTGCTTTCGTTCTCTCCAGCGGATGTATGCATGTATGTATGTGTTTGTTGAACTTCTTTCGCACCGTTCGTCTCCAACCGTGCTAATCGGATGTGCGAAATGTGTCCCCACCACGTGTCTTGATATGCCGCTGCAAATTAAGTTTGTTCTCTGATCCACACGGTGCTCTTTCTCGTCTCTCGGTGTAATTCCCAGGATGTGTGTGTCTCTCTCTCTCTGTGTGTGTGTGTGCTTCTTTGCGGGCTTTTCAGATTGAGTGTTTTGTTTCACTGCAGTTTTATGATCAATTAATCACGGAAGCTCGTCTTTGTCTCGCTACCTATGTGTCCGCGCTTGTGTAACTAAGATCCCTGCCGTGTCGTGACATCTGTACCGTCGCAGGACGCTCGTGAAATCAGAGCCGAGCGGCTCATTGAGCCCTTCCTGCTGAAATAAATAAATCAACCGTCGTCGACCGATCATATTCTCTGCCAGAAAGTTGTCTTCTTAAGGCACATTGGTATGCGTCTACTTATTGTCAAATTTGATTTGTTTTCCAAGAGCTCTACATCACTGTGTCCTATTATGTGCACGTACGTACGTGTGTCAGGCTTCTTTCGCACCGTACGTAACCAAACCGTGCGAATGTTCGTCCCGTTCCAACTTCAGGTTGAGTTGAGTTTTTTTTTCAGTTTCCGCCCCCCCCCCCCACTTCCAGCAAAGATGTCCCTGTCGAGCGGAGTTCTTCGACGTGACTTTCGTTTTGCTCACATTTTATCCGCAGCCCCATATTTTGCCACCCTCTCTGTTACGCTGCCGTCATGATTTACTTATTCAGTTCTTGTAAATTAGATTCCATTGGTTGTCATGCCGGCCGTGTCGTCGGCGGATCTGTCGCTGTGTAGTAGCCCTGGTGAGAATCTCTGCGTGACTCCCCTCCTGAATTGCGTACTGATGTTTTCTCGCATGCGTGTGCGTGTCTTATCGGCGTAGCTGTTCCATCTTCATGAATGCATTCTCATTTATTTATCCATTCATCAAGGCCTTCGTCTGTGAGAGCTCGGATGACTGCATCCATTTTCACCGAATCAAACGCGCTTTTATCGTATCATCTACAAACGCCGTACATGATATTTGATACGCGTTATGATCGGCCGGCCGCGATCAATTCCACCGCTGGATGAAGGCCATCTCACGTGACGGGCGCGGACCACGTGACGTCCGCGCGCGCACAGCGGACGTCACGGGCGCGGACACGTTCCACACGCGCGTGCAATCCACTCGAGTTCAGTCCCTTGTCGATCCACTGCTCGATGGAGGGAGGCGTACCCACGCCGTGTTTGTCACGGGGGGTGGGGGAGGGTGCTTTGACCGACGCCTTTGCACGCCGTTCAGCGACGGTTGGTGAATGATGCGGGTCCAGGACCATTTCGGATATTCACTCGCAATCGACGGTAGTTAGCCATAGGAGGGAATCTAACTCAGGTCGCCGGGTGCATCGTGCGAGTGCGCAAACTCCGCAACCTCGGCTCGGCTCCGGAGTCCGCCCAGTGAGTTCTGATTCCCAGGGAGATGCGCGCTGAGCCGTCGTCACGTGTCGCACCCGCGATGGTTCTGAACCGCTGCTGCGTTATCTCCGTGGCCCCGGGTCTCCCCAGCTCCACGTCGCGCCCGTGACGCACACCGAGCCAGCGTGTGACCCCCCCCCCCCCCCCCCCTTAGCTCCCTGCCCTCCTCCCCCCACCGCCAAGCCGTGTGGTTACCTACTTACCTCCCGTGAGAGTCGCCCCAGGATGGTACTCAGGCCCTCGATGATGATGAAAAAAACCCACAAAATTGGTACCACACTGCGGAAAAAGTGAACAGCGCTTCGCCGCCTGACGGACGGACGGATGGATGAGCTTGCCGCCCTTGGGCAGCGCGGATTCCCCGAACGTTGCCCACTAAGATGAGCGCCGCCCAAGTGGTAACTTTGAGTAAGTGAGGCACCTTAACGCGTAGTCGGCTATCGTGACCAGTGTCATCCATAATAATAGAGGGGGGGGGGGATTTGGGGTGGGGGAGGAGGGGGGTTTGGGGTGGGGGAGGAGGGGGGGGTTGGGGTGGGGGAGGAGGGGGGGGGTTGGGGTGGGGGAGGAGGGGGGGGTTTGGGGTGGGGGAGGAGGGGGGGGGGGTTGGGGTGGGGGAGGAGGGGGGGGTTTGGGGGTGGGGGAGGATGAGGGGTTTAGATCGCGTAAATATATAAATGTGTCGTTAAACCCGCCACCACCCGACACAGCCAATTAGTAAGGCTTGTCACGTAAACTGAACATGTACTGTATTAGTTACGAATTGGCAAGTTCTGTTTACGTGACAAACCTTACTAATTGGCTGTGTCGGGTGGTGGCGGGTTTAACGACACATTTATATATTTAGGCGATCTAACCCAAACGAATCTCTGTTATGGATAAGTGAGACACTCATTGCGGTTCTACGAGAACGGCGTAGAAGGCCCCCACGCTTATCCCGAGCGTCTGAAGGGCGCGTGAGAGTGATAGCATGTCAGAGACCTCCACCTCCTTCAACCTCCTCCACCACCACCTCCTCCTCTTCCTCGTTCTACCTCCTTCTCATATTCTTCTTCTTCCTCCTCCTTATACTTCTACTCCTCCTCCTTTCACGACCTCCTCCTCCACCTCCTCCACCACCTCCTCCTTCACCACCTCCTCCTTCACCACCTCCTCCTCCACCACCTCCTCCACGATCACCTCCACCACCTCATCCTCCTCCACCACCACTTCCTCCATCACCACCTCCTCCATCACCACCTTCTCGCGAGGCTACAGGAGACGATCACGCTCACGACACTCACGGCGCGCCGAGGAAACAGTGGCAACAGACCGCGGGTTAACATTGCAGAAGTGCACCCTGGGTGTTCGTGACCCAGCACTCAGGGATACACCAATAGCAGATACAATGAAGGCGAGGCTCAGTTGACGCCTGCATGTAATGTCCCGTCACTCAAACATTTAGATCGCCCGTGTGTGTGGTATGTATGCGTGCGTATGTATTATTACGTGTATCTGAAAGTGTGCATAAGTTTCTCACGTGTCTTTGTGTGTACTTATGTGACTACGGATACGTATGTGTGTCAGTATATATGTAAGTGCGAGGGTGAGCGCGTATGTTTTGTGGGGAGTGTCGTGGTTAGCACGCTGCGTTACGAAGCCGGCCACCCGAGTTCGATTCCTGATGAAGGCTAGCAACACCCAGTGACGATTATCTGCATCGGTTCTGGGCCTCCCCTAGGTCGACTAAGCCTCAAATGAGTACCTGGTGCGACCTGTAAAACATCACCACTTGGGAGACAAAGGCGGCCGGGCGTGGTAGTGCCGGCCATTCTGGCCTTCAGAGGTGGACCGCTAACAGCACCTGTCCCCCAAAAGTCTACCGAGGCTATACGGGGGCCGTCTTTGTCTCGTCTGGCGTGTCGCCTCGCCGTCGTGAATCGGGCTGCACCAGGGTCGCTCTATCGGACGTGAACATCGCGTGACCTCACGTCAGTCGCGGCGAGTGTTTCCAGCTGCAGTGACCTCCTCCGCTTGCTCCTCCTGCTCCTCCTCCTCCTCCTCCACGCTCAAGCGTCAATAAACCACGCGCGTGACTGCCCCCGGGCGACATTCACGAGCGGCCGCGTCTTCTCTCTCTCTCTCTCCGCTGCGCCGGTGGCCTTTTTTGTTTTCAGCCCCGCCTCGGTGGGACCTGGGTCGAGTCTCTTCCCGTGCAAGACTCCGACGCGAGCTTCATGTCGAGTTCGCTGGTGAGACTTCACGGCGCTCGGCAGGTCGAGGCGGCCCATCGTCGCGTGCGCTCTTGCCGATGGCAGCTGAACCCAGAATTCAACTTCGGCGGTAGCAGTAACCACGGCAGTCGCTGGAAAAAGAAAAAAAAACGGTACCCCCTTTTTCGACGGCCGAGGTCAGGGCGATTGAGCGCCGCTTATCCACAATGTCACCGCGCATCGTACCCCCCGGGGGTGGCGCAGTCGTCCGCTCCGTCCGTGCGCCACCAACCCCCGGCTTCGGGATCAAATCGGAAGTGGAGTCCAACCCCGCGTCTCCCCCACTCGTGTGCGGCTCTTTCGATCTGGCGCCTAGCGATAGTCACGTGGCGATCTGCGGGGATCGAGGAGGGGGATGGAGGAGGCGGAGGGGGTAGGCGGAGGTGGGGGCGGAGGGGGGGGGGTTAATGGACAGGATGGGGGAGGGGTCGGGGGGAGAGTGGACGGAGTCCAGGCTGCAGAGGGAGGGGAGGCCCGAGGAAATGGGTTGTTGAAAAAAGTTTGGTTGTGCCCGTGCAAATGCCGCCGTAATTAGCTGGCGATACTCGACTGTCGCTGCCTCTGAGCTTGGCTCGCCGCGGAGGCCGCTCCCTCCCTCCGTCCGTCGCTCCCTCCTCCTCCCGCCCCCACAGCCCTCCCCGTCCGCTCCAAACGGCCCCCCGGTCGAGCCGGGCCGCGGCCACTCGGCTGCGGGCCTCGAGTGTCGGCGAGCGGGCGGTCACCGCACACCGGCTGGGCACGAGGAGCGCGGTGGAGCGAGCGGAGCGCGAGGAGGGGAAACTCCCGGGGAGAAGACCGCAGAGCGCGACGGAGCCGAACTCTCCGTTGAGCGCGGGACCGCGAGACTCGCTCGGCCCCCGAAGGCCGGGTGGGTGGGTGGAGAAAGGAGAGGGATCGAGGCCGCTCCGAAGCTCGCAGGTGAGCCGCTCTCACTGCAGCCCGAGACGCGCCCCCCCCCCCCCACAACCCCCTTCGTGTCCCTCGCCACCGCTGCCCTCGCACGATGCTCATCAATCGCGGAGCGCGTGGAGTTTCGCGCGGTCATTCATTGACCGTGGGCCCGCGATCACCGCTCACAGACGTGCGGCGTCGAGCGGCAGCTTCCACCACCACCGCCACCCCCACCTCCTCCTCCCACCCCACCGCGCGCCCGGATGGATGAGCACCCGGCCCGGAATGCGCGCGGTGTTTACTTTCGGCGGCGCGCGGCGTCCCACGGACAGCCGAGGGGGCGGCGCGGACGGTGCCGCGGAGCGCGCGGGCCCCGCGCAAAGCGCACACCGGGCGTGCGTGTGTGAGTATGGTTGCGTGTGTGTGTGAGTATGGTTGCGTGTGTGTGTGAGTCTAGAGGTCTCCGGACTCTGTGCGTGTGTGTAAACGTCGACCACTAGGGGAGACAAAGGCGGCCGGGCGTGGTTGCTGGCCACCCACCCGCTCGTATGCCGTGCCGCGGCCTGCAGAGGTGCTCTCTAACAGCACTTGCCCCAACAGTATGTTAAGGCTATAGGGGGGTTGTCTTTGTGTTATTATGCATGACGTGTGTGTCTCTGTGTCCAGGTGTGTGGGTGGATGCGTGATTAAGTCTAGCCTCTTGTGTGTGTGTAGGTGTGTCTGTCTGGGTGTGTGTGTGTAGGTGTTTCTGTCTGGGTGTGTGTGTCTTGGTGTGTCTGTCTGTCTGGGTGTGTGTGTGTAGGTGTGTCTGTCTGTTTGGGTGTGTGTGTGTAGGTGTGTCTCTCTGTCTGTCTGGGTGTGTGTGTCTAGGTGTGTCTGTCTGTGTGTGTGTCTATCTGTCTGGGTGTGTGTGTAGGTGTGTCTGTCTGTGTGTGTCTAGGTGTGTCTGTCAGGGTGTGTGTGTGTCTTGGTGTGTGTAGGTGTGTCTGTCTGGGTCTGTGTGTGTAGGTGTGTCTGGGTGTGTGTGTAGGTGCGTCTGGATGTGTGTGTCTAGGTGTGTCTGTCTGTCTGGGTGTGTGTGTGTGTAGGTGTGTCTGTCTGTCTGGGTGTGTGTGTGTGTCTTGGTGTGTGTAGGTGTGTCTGTCTGTGTGTGTGTGTAGATGTGTCTGGGTGTGTGTGTCTAGGTCTGTGTCTGGGTGTGTGTGTGTAGGTGTGTCTGTCTGTCTGGAAGTGTGTGTGTGTGTCTAGGTGTGTCTGTCTGTCTGTGTGTGTCTAGGTCTGTCTGTATGGGTGTGTGTGTAGGTGTGTCTGTCTGTCTGTGTGTGTGTCTAGGTGTGTCTGTCTGTCTGTGTGTGAGGGGTGGCGGTGCAGAGGTGAGCGCACCACGGTCACCTGAGTTTGATTCCAGGCCACGGCTAACATCATCAGTGGGGAGTCATGTCATGCCCCCCCCCCCCAGCCCGTTAATGACTACCTGATGTAGTTTACAAACAGCAGCAATGGGTTATACAAAAGTGGCCGGGCAACAATACCTTACGTGTGCCGTGCAGGCCTTAATATGTGCTCCCTAACAACACTTATCTCTGGAGTCTTGTGACGGCTATGTGAGTTTGAATGGTATGTAAGGAGTAAAACTCCTTTAAGATGTGCGTCTAAGTTCAGTTTGTGCTCAGATGTTATTTGTCTGGGAGTGAGAGTCGCGCCTAGGATTGTGTTGCGCGCAAGTTCACGTGGCTGCGTGTTTACTCGTGTGGCTGTTTGTACACCAGTGTGTCTGTATGCATGTGTGTCTGTGTGTACTGTATGTGTGTCTGTGTGTCTGTGTGCATGTTGCGTGTGGGTCGTAAGTTGTGGTGAGCGGTAGTTGCAGCTGCGGTTAGCGCTACGAACCTGGCGGCTACCCGAGTTCGATTCCCGCTCACGGCCATCAACACCGGTGATGATTATCTGAACCGGTTCTGGGCCTCCCCTGGGTCGACTCAGCCTCAGATGAGTACCTGGTCTAGCGGTGTGTCGTAAACATCGCTACTGGGGAGACAAAGGCGGCCGGGCGTGGCGCATGCCACCCCACCCTTCGCGTACCGTGCCGGCTTTCATAGGTGCTCGCTAACAGCACTTGCTCTAACAGCCTGTTGAGGCTTTAACCGGTGGTGGGGGGGGGGGTCTTTGTCTTTGTTGTGTGTGTTACGTGCGTGTATATGTACCGCATGTGTGCGTTCGTGCATATTGACCAGTGCGGTTTGTCCGATTGTTGCTTTGTATATATGTACGTGCATATATATACTGGGCTGAATGTGTGTGTGTGAATGTCAGAGGTTGCGTGCGTTTACGTCTTGCGTCTCTGTCAATCCGTGTGGTTACGCGTACGTGTGTCATGCTCTTGGTAAGCACGGCATTACCGTGTGTGGCTGCGTTTGAATTAGAAAGACAAATATAACGCTTTAAAATACACGTGAAAATATGTTCGTATGTCATGCGAATACAATCACTCGCGTAAACATTTTAATATGCAATGTATAAGCGATTAATTATATTATTGGTTCTTTCGGTAAAGTCACGTAGAAGGGAAACAATAAAATAATAAAAATATAATTGTTTATATATTTGTCCTATGTCGAGCGTGCTCATCGTTGGTACACAAAGAAAAAGACCCCCAGTATAGTCTGTAACAGACTGTTGGTGAAAGTGCTGTTAGAGAGCGCCTATAAAGGCCGGAACAGCACGCGAAGGGTCCAGCACCACGCCCGACCGCCTTTGTCTCCCTAGTGGCAATGTTTTACACAAGGTACTCGATACTCTTTTGAGGCTGAGTCGACCTAGAGGAGTCCCAGAACAGGTTCAGATCATCGTCACCGGTGTAGGCCGTGAGCGGAAATCGAACTCGGTACGCCGGGTTCGTAGCGCAGCGTAGCACTAACCGCTACACTACCGCTTCCCACACACACGCATCTACACACACATACGTCGAGAGACAGCGAGCTACACACACACATACGTCGAGAGACAGCGAACTACACACATTGCCGTTCAAAAAGCACCGCTGAAAAGTTAATCAAACAAGAGACGTGCGCGGAGTGCGAGCGAGCGCAAATCTCCCCAGCCGCCGCTTGAGCGTCTTCCCAGCGATGGGCGCCCCCTCGAACTTCTAATCGCATCAACCACCCTGCACCCCCCCCCCCGCCACCAACGCGCGCTCCTTTGTTGCGACCAGAGCGTGCGCCCAGATTCCGAGATCAGCGCCGCCGTTGTTTGGCTCCGCGTCAATTTTTGCCGTTCGGGCCTGTGCAGTCGTGGCAGCAGCAGCAGCAGCAGGAGGAGTAAGTAGCAGAAGGAGGAGCAAGCAGCAAGAGGAGTATCAAGCAGAAAACAGCAGCAGGAGGAGTAGCAAGCAGCAGCAGGAGCAAGCAGCAGCAGCAGGAGGAGCAAGCAGCAGCAGGAGGAGTAGCAAGCAGCAGCAGCAAGTAGCAGCAGGAGGAGTAGCAAGCAGCAGCAAGCAGCAGCAGCAGTAGGAGCAAGCAGCAGCAGGAGGAGCAAGCAGCAGCAGGAGGAGTAGCAAGCAGCAGCAGGAGGAGTAGCAAGCAGCAGCAAGCAGCAGCAGGAGGAGCAAGCAGCAGCAGGAGGAGCAAACAGCAGCAGCAGGAGGAGTAGCAAGCAGCAGGAGGAGCAAACAGCAGCAGGAGGAGCAAGCAGCAGGAGGAGTAGCAAGCAGCAGCAGTAGCAGCAGTAGCAAGCAGCAGCAAGCAGCAGCAGTAGCAAGCAGCAGCAGGAGGAGTAGCAAGCAGCAGCAAGCAGCAGGAGGAGTCGCGAGGCGCCGCCGCTGCCGCCCACCAGGACGGCCTCGTGTGCCCCGCTGCCTCTCCGTGCGTGCCGCTATTGATGTGGCTGCCTTCAACACACACAAAAAACACAACTCGAGAGATAGACGCGCTGCGAGCTCGGCTGAACATCAATCGCCGAGGCCTTGCGTCGGTCCGTCAGCTCTTCCCCACCCCCTCCCCTCCATCCCTCGTCTCCATCTCTTCCTCTCTCTGTAGAGTTAGAGGCCTGACGGCAGGCAAGTCGCTTTAGTACCCCGACGATGAGTGCCGGCCACTTGCCCGACCGGCCGTCACGAGTCCCACGGTGCTGGAAGTCACGGCGGCGAGAAGGAATAGTTGTTGTTAGTGGTGGTCGGTGGCGGTGGTGGTGATGATGATGGTCGCGATATCATCGCCGGCGCCGTGAAACACCCCCTCCCTCTCGGTCGCGTCTCTCCGAGTGCGTTCAGGGAGGGAGAGCCGCGTGGCCTCTCGCGGACGGGTGGGGGAAGTCCCCGCCGGATTTATGACCCCGCATTTTTTTATTAGGCGCTGACAGCTCCGGTAGTGGCGCGTCACGCGCGCCGCGATTCCCTCGTCTCTCTCTCTCTGTAGTATTATTGTTGTTGTTATATTAGGGAGGGAGGGGGCGGCGCTAATGGTGCTTCGGAAGGCCTCGTTTTGAAGCGACGAGGCCCCGATCATTCGAGCGGCACGCTGCGTGACTCGCGCGGTTTATGGGTACGGGCGCAGGAGACGTAGCGCACAAAGACAGAGATTCCCCCACCACCACCACCCACCCACGCCCACCGTGTAGCCTTGACAGGCTGTGCTGTTAGCGAGCACCTCGCCTATACACACAAGACAAAGATCCCCTGTGTAGCCTTATCAGACTGGAGGGGCAAGTGCTGTTAGCGAGCACCTATGAAGGCCGGCACTGTGGCACACGAGGGGGTGGGTGGCCAGAACCACGCCCGGCCGCATTCGTCTCCCCAGTGGCGATGTTTACACACCGCACCAGGTTCTCATTTGAGGCTGAGTCCACCTAGGAGAGGTCCAGGACCGGTTCGGACAATCGTCACCGATGTCAGCCGTGAGCGGGAAACGAACCTGGGTCGCTGGGTAGCGCTAATCGCTACACTACCGCTCCCCTTGTGTATACGCACCTCGCATTTACACACAAGGGAAGACGCACGAAGAGAACAGACCCACACACACACACGTATAACA